ATTATTTCGTAAATTATAAAGATTTATTTATAAACATTCATTGAATGATCTTGTTTTTTGTACAGATTTTATGAAGTCTATTGTGAAGTCGAACCAAAACGTTTGGCTTTAGAAAAAGCGAATGCTGAATTAAAAGCTGCTCGAGATAAACTCGATGCAGTTAATAAACAAGTTGCGGTATGTATTCTTGTTTCTATAATACTTTCATTTATCAATACGAAATATTTTTTTTTGTCTATTGTAGAATTTAGAAGCAGCTTTAGCAAAATTAACAGCTGAATATGAAGTCGCTATGGCTGCTAAACAAAAATGTCAAGATGAAGCTGATCATACAGCTTATACAATTAATTTAGCTAATCGTTTAGTTAATGGTCTTGCATCCGAAAATGTTCGTTGGCGTGAATCTGTTGCTGGATATAGAAAATCAGAAGAAACAACACCAGGAGATGTTTTATTAATTACAGCTTTTGTTTCTTATGTTGGTTGTTTTACAAAAAATTATCGTGTTGATCTTATGGAAAATCATTGGAGACCACATTTAGCTGCATTAAAAGTAACATAAAACAATCGATTTTTATTTTAAAAAAAAATGAAATATATTTGTCATTTAGGTACCAATTCCTGTTACACCAGGTATTGATCCATTAACATTAGTTGTTGATGATGCTGTTGTTGCTGGATGGAATAATGAAGGTTTACCATCAGATCGTATGTCAACTGAAAATGCAACAGTTCTTACAACATGTGAACGATGGCCATTAATGATTGATCCACAATTACAAGGTATTAAATGGATCAAACAACGTTATGGTGAACGTATCAAAGTTATTCGATTAGGACAAAAAGGTTATTTAGATAAAATTGAACAAGCTATAGCAGCTGGTGATATACTTTTAATTGAAAATATTGATGAATCAATTGAAGCTGTACTTGATCCATTACTTGGACGAAATACAATCAGAAAAGGTCGAGCTATTAAATTAGGTGATAAAGAAATTGAATATCATCCGGAATTTCGACTTATTTTACAAACCAAACTTGCTAATCCACATTATAAACCTGAAATGCAAGCTCAAACAACATTAATTAATTTTACAGTAACAAAAGATGGTCTTGAAGATCAATTATTAGCTGATGTAGTTGCAAAAGTAAGATAAATACAACTTCAATTTTTAATCTTATTAATCAAATTCAATTTTTGTAGGAACGTCCAGATCTTGAACGTTTGAAATCTGATTTAACTACACAACAAAATGAATTTAAAATCACATTAAAACGTCTGGAAGATAATCTTTTAGCTCGTTTATCATCAGCTGGTTCGAATTTTCTTGGCGATACTGAATTAGTTGAAAATTTAGAAAATACAAAACGAACTGCAACTGAAATTGAAGAAAAAGTTGCTGAAGCTAAAATAACATCTGTTAAAATTGATGAAGCACGTGAATTATATCGTCCTGCAGCAGCACGTGCTAGTTTAATCTATTTTATTATGAATGATCTTTGCCGTATACATCCCATGTATCAATTTTCATTGAAAGCATTTAAAGTTGTTTTTGCTAAATCGATTGAAAAAGCCGAACCATCCGAAGATGTTAAAGCACGTGTACACAATTTAATTGATTCTATAACATACTTTACATTTATTTATACTACTCGTGGTTTATTTGAAAAACATAAACTTATATTTACATCACAAATGTCATTCTTAGTAAGAAATTGTTTATTTGCTTGTCTATCCGCAGGGTCAAAAAAACATCGAAAACTGATTTTTCAGAAAAGACATTTCTAGAGGTATTTCGATTCAGGGACTTCGAATCTGATGTTAGTGTTTGCAAATTATATAAGCAAGAAGTCCCGTAGCATTGTAAAGCTAAGCGAGCGTTACTTGTTAATATTAATATTTATGTATATATATAGATTTTACTTGCATCGAAAGAAATTGATCCAAAAGAACTTGATTTTCTTCTTCGATATCCAATTACACCTAATGTTGTATCACCCGTTGATTTTCTTAATGATATATCATGGGGTGGAATCAAATCTTTATCACAAATGAATGAATTTACCAATCTTGATCGTGATATTGAAGGTTCAGCTAAACGATGGAAAAAATTTGTTGAAATGGAAGCACCAGAAAAAGAAAAATTACCACAAGAATGGAAAAATAAAACACCATTACAAAAATTATGTATGATGCGTGCACTTCGACCTGATCGAATGCTTTATGCATTAAGGTAAAAATGAATAAAAGCGCTTGTTTTATTTTAAAAATAAACTATTGTTTTTTTTCTAGTATATTTGTCGAAGAAAAATTAGGAAAACAATTCGTTGAAAATCGTGCAGTACCATTTACTAAATCCTATGAAGAAACAAATACAACTACACCTGTCTTCTTTATTCTATCACCTGGTGTTGATCCAATAAAAGATGTCGAAGCAATGGGAAAGAAATTAGGCTTTACAATGAATGAAAAAACTTTTCATAATATTTCACTTGGTCAAGGTAAATTGACGAAAACAAAATAAAAAAAGAATTAAATATTTTATTTAAATAATTTTAAGGTCAACAAGTTGTTGCTGAAGCAGCTATGGATATTGCTGCAAAAGAAGGTCATTGGGTTGTACTACAAAATATTCATTTAGGTTAGAAATTATTTAATAAAACAAAAAATCATATTTATAAATATTTTTCTTGTGTAATAATAGTCGCAAGTTGGTTACCACAATTAGAAAAGAAATTAGAACAATGTTGGGAATTGGGTCATGAAAGTTTTCGTATGTATATGTCAGCTGAACCATCAGGTGATCCAGCAGGACATTGTATACCACAAGGTATTCTTGAATCGGCTGTTAAAATGTAAGTCATTAAAGATTTTTCGACGTATTTATATGACGTTTTTTTTGTCTTCAATAGTACAAATGAACCTCCAACTGGTATGCAAGCTAATTTACACAAAGCTCTTGATTTATTCAATCAAGATACACTTGAAATGTGTGCAAAAGAAACTGAATTTAAATCGATTCTATTTGCACTTTGTTATTTTCATGCTGTTGTTGCCGAAAGGTAAGATTATTTAAATGATAATTTGATAAATAAAAATTTGGATTTTATTAGACGAAAATTTGGTGCTCAAGGTTGGAATCGAAATTATCCATTTAATAATGGTGATCTTACAATCTCAGTTAATGTACTTTATAATTATTTGGAAGCTAATTCAAAAGTTCCATGTAAATATTCTTTTTTTTTATATTCAAAAGAATATATAATTAAATGTTTTTTTTAATTACAGGGGAAGATCTTCGATATTTATTTGGTGAAATTATGTATGGTGGTCATATAACAGATGATTGGGATCGTCGTTTATGTAAAACTTATCTCGAAGAATATATGAATCCACAAATGGTAAGTTTATATTTTTATTTGAAAAAAATAAATCTATATATTGATTTTCTAGTTTGATGGTGAACTTCTTCTTGCACCTGGTTTTCCAATTCCACCAGCAACTGATTATAAAGGTTATCATACATATATTGATGAATTTCTTCCACCTGAATCACCCTATCTTTATGGTTTACATCCAAATGCTGAAATTGATTTTCTAACAACAACTAGTGAAAATCTATTTAAAACTGTATTAGAAATGCAACCACGTGATGCAGGTGCTGGTGCTGGTGGTGAAGGCTCAGGAATGACACGTGAAGAAAAGATTAAAGCTAAATTAGATGAAATATTAGAAAAATTACCAGATGAATTTAATGTACGAGAACTTTATGCTAAAGCTGAAGATAAAACACCATATACTGTTGTTGCTTTACAAGAATGTGAACGTATGAGTATTTTAACGCGAGAAATGCGACGATCATTAAAAGAACTTAATCTTGGTCTTAAAGGTGAATTAACAATAACATCTGAAATGGAACAATTACAAGATTCACTATTTTTCGAACAAGTACCTGCAGCATGGACAAAACGTGCTTATCCATCAATGTTTAGTCTTGCTTTATGGTATAGTGATTTATTATTACGTATAAGAGAATTAGAAATGTGGACAAATGATTTCTCGTTACCATCGGCTGTGTGGTTAGGTGGTTTATTTAATCCTCAATCATTTTTAACAGCTATTATGCAAACAACAGCACGTAAAAATGAATGGCCATTAGATAAAATGTGTTTATCCGTTGATGTTACGAAAAAAACTCGTGAAGAATTAGGTGGTGCACCAAGAGAAGGTGCTTATATTTATGGACTTTTTATGGAAGGTGCACGATGGGATACACAAACAGGTCAACTAAGTGAATCTAAAATCAAAGAATTAACACCAATGATGCCTGTACTTTTTGTTAAAGCTATACCAGGTAAAATCTTACTTTTTAATAATTTGACTATATATATATATATAATTTTCTTTTTAGTTGATCGACGTGAAACAAAGAATATTTATGAATGTCCAGTATATAAAACCAAATCACGTGGTCCAACATTCGTTTGGACATTTAATTTACGTACGAAAGAAAAACCGGCTAAATGGGTTTTAGGTGGTGTTTGTCTTTTATTAGCTGTGTGATTTTTTTTTAATCTTAGACTACTGTTTATATACATAATATATATTATATATTTTTGTTAATGAATAAATATTCATTCATATAAAATAAAATGTTCTCAATATGCGAAGTTCATATTCGTGAAGACATTGTATAAAGCATTTATTTTCATATTTTTTTTCAAAAAATCTATTTGTTCTATGGCCTTGGAATATAATTGCCATATAAATAATATAATAATTCGTTATTTCAATTCTTTTCAAAGATGAATAATCAATCCTATAGAAAAAAAGTGCGTTTCATACTGAGTTATTTGATGCACGAAAAGTATGACATATTCAATCTTTTATATAAAAGTATAGGGGATAAAGATTACTGATAATATTATTTTTTATATCGAATTTATATAAACTGAATAACCGATATTTGACGTCGTGCTTATTACTTCAGTTTTGGATAATGTTCGTGTATTTCGTTTCATTTCTATCTATAATTCATGTTAGTAATGGATTGTCAAGTCCTCTTACAACATTTACTACTTATCAACATTCAGTTGAACTTCAAAGTACTGTAGCAGATCTTTGGTGGACAGTTAATGAGACGAACCAAACGATTTTCTTTGAATTACATGTAAATACAACAGGATGGATTGCATTAGGTATTAGTCCAGGTAAATAACTTTCTTAATAGATTTTTTATAATATTTTCTTTGTAATTAAGCTGGAGGAATGACTGGTGCTGACATAGGTGTTGGATGGGTTGATCAATCTGGGAAAGTTACATTTCAAGTGTGAAGTTTACCTTCTAGCGAATTAATAAAATCATTCTGATTATATTTGTTTTTAAGGATCGATATGCATATACATTTGCTTTACCTGTTCGAGACAATACAACTGTTGATTGGTTTGCTACCCAAGGACGTGAACAGAATGGTTGGACTGCAATTCAGTTTCATCGTTTACTTGATACCTGTGATTATATGGATGTTGCAATTAAAGTATAAAAGAATTGATTTTTTTTCTGTTAAAATTGTTTATGATTTTTATAGTCTGGTACTAATACTCTTATATTTGCCTATGGTCTTGTTGATCCTAGTGCAGCTACATCGAATGATATAACATATCATGAAACTCGAAGAGGTTCATATACACTATCTCTTCGATCTTACGATGATCCACCACCGGAAAGTAAATTTGCTGGAATGAATTATTTCGATTTTCAAACAAAGAATGTTTGTATTCAAATTTCTATTACATATGTATATATTTCATTATATAGTATTCAATTCCACTAGCTGCTACAACATATCTTTGTACAGTATATAAAGCACCAGCTATATATACTACAAAACAACATGTCATAGCTGTATGTATTATCATAATATTAGATTAGCATGATTTGTTTTGTTTATTATAGCAAAAGATTGTACTTAATTCAACTAATCCTGCAATTGTTCATCATTTATTAATGTATGAATGTGATCCTACAACACAATTTAATGATTCGAATTTACCGAATGATTTATGTGAAAATCTTCTTAATAAACTTAGTAAATGTTTAGCAAATATTGCAACTGGTTGGGCAGTTGGTGGTGATTTCGTGAGAATTTAAAAATTAAATTGAGTCTCCACTAAAAACTAATTTGTTTAAATAGATGTCTGAATTTCCTCCTGAAGCCGGTTATCCTGTTGGTGGAAATTTTTCAATTAAATATTATGTCCTTCAAATTCATTATAGTAATTCTATTGGATGCACTAGTAAGAATATAATCTGTAAATTATGAAATAATTATTCATTTTCTTTTTAATTAGATTGTGTAGATAATTCAGGCATTCGATTTTATGTAACTAATCAACTTCGACCAAATGATATTGGTTATCTTACATTTGGTACTGATACAACTTCAACTAGTTTAACTATTCCTCCTGGTGTTCAAAGTTTTGCAGTAGATTCTTATTGTCCACTGAATGCAAGTCTAGTATGTTATTAAATTAAGTTTTATCGTTAGTGAGATCGTATTTATATTTAAGCTTTTTCCAACAAGTGGAATAACAGTTTTAACTGCATTTCCTCATGCACATTTACAAGGTAAATATTCTAGCAGATTTTTAAAGGATTTAAATTGTTATTATTAATTATAGGAGTGAGTATTTGGACAAAATTAATACGGAATAAGACAGTTGTTGAGTATTTATTTGATGCTGAAGTGTTTGATTTTAATTATCAATTTATAAATCAATTACCTCAACGAATACAACTTTATCCAGTAAATAGAAACTATTTTCTTTTTTTACTAAGTTATTTTAAAATGAAAACTATATTTCTAGGGTGATGAATTTGCTACTCGTTGTATGTATAATACAATGAATAAAAATATAACTACATTTGTATGAAAAATATTTATGAAATACTTATATAAAATATCTTTATCATTTAGGGTGGAGAAAGTACAACAGATGAAATGTGTCTCCATATGTTTACATATTATCCTCGAGTTAATAATCTCTATGGATGTATAACAGTACTGAATCCAGCAAGTTGGGCAAATTTTTTAAAAATGAATTCGTAAAATGATTGAAATTTCTTTTCATTATTAATACATGTATATTTATTTTAGTACTTTTAATTCAACTACTCTTGAACAAATTGCAGCTAATATTAGTTGGACAACAAATTTAAGAACTCAATGGCAAAATTTTTATAATAATGCTTCACGTGTTACTGTATATGGTACATCAGGAAACATGAGTAAGATATTACTACCTAAAATACCATATTATGTCGATTTAGCACAAGAAAATTGTACTGTGCAAAAGTATGATTCACCTATTAGCGGTGCATGTATTGGTAATTTCGTTATATGGCAAATACTATTGATTTCTATTGTACTTGTTTCATTTTCTAATAAAAATCACCATTAATATATCGCGAAAATAAATTTACAGTTTTATTTCGCAAAAAAATAGTTAAATGTATTTATGCATAACATCTACCTTTTCATTTGACATTGAATATTGTCGAATGTTTTTCTATTTCATTCGTCAAGTATTAACTAATTTATCTTTCATAGACATCTTATTTATAATAACTATTTTATCGATATCTTTCATCAGTATTTTTTCAATGTTAGTAAATGTCAAGTAGAAGACAAAATTCTCCCTTGTGTGCATTCTATATTTAATATTCATCAGATTCAATAAATAAATTAATAATAGCAACAATTGGTTTCGTTATATAAACCGATGAAAATAATCCGCAGAGTTTAAAAATGTAAAAAAAAACTAATGAGAAGATTCAATTATCGTGATAATATCAAATAGCTTATAAAAAAAAAAGAAAGATATATTTATAATATAATGTCGAGGGATAAAAAATTTTTGTAATTAATCTATATGATTGCACAAGCTAAAAATGAAAGATATTATTGTCTATTCCTTAAAGACATATCCTATAGATAATTATGAAGAAAAAAAATGCTTTCATTTTATTAGTATACTATTGAAATTGAATAAAGTTTATTTTTCAATAGGAGATATTAAAAAATAAAAAGTAATTTATACTCAAAAAACTTGAGGAGATGCATATATAAATTTCTTTTTCATTCATTTAATAAGAAAAAGAAGTGGAAATCGTTCATCATGTAATATATCCTGTCGTGGTTAAGATCTCTACATCTCAATTTTCAAGTGTATCTCAATGCTTTTCTGCGTAACTACTCAAGGCAATTCTAAAAAGAGATACTTACAAAAAGACGGCAAGGACAAAACGATTCCCCTCCTACTGACAGACTAATTATCATTGATTTGCGTCGAGATAGAAACAAAAATGATGCAAAAATGATAAAATAAATGATTAATATGATATTTCATAGAGTAAAAACAATACATTAATGATTTAAAATAGAAATGAATATGTATTTTTTTTCTCACTTCATATCTAATCGATCGATAATTATCGTATTTTATTTGTACATAATGATCAATTATTTTCCTATATCATTAACTATTAATCAAAATATATTGTAAAAGACCGCACCCCTTTTTTTCTCCAGAAAGAAATAAAGTTGAAAATATAGTTTTTAAATTATAATATCTTTATGCTTATGGATGCAATGTGCAATAATATTGTTGTAAGTACTGGGTAACTAATGACTGAAAGTTATCAATAGATTATGAAACATAATTGACAACCATAGACTTTCTTATTAAGATAATATTATAAACATATAAATTGACACGACCTGTAAGGCTGAAAAATGATTATCATAATCTCTCTTTTTCTTCCTTGGTAAAAAAAAGACACTAGCTGTCATATAAAAAAGAAGTTTATTTCATACGATGTGATAAAATTTGTTTTTTTTTACACTAACAGGTTAATCTATCAAGTGAGTTATTTTATTCTTGTTGATTAACATTCAATAGGATATCTTCATTAATGATTCCTATTTAAATCATTGTTCTCTAAGAACATTTATTTTATGTATTCACACGAGAAATTATGACTGTAAGGCTCGAGTAATTAGAGAAGATTTTGCGTCGTTGATAAAAGAAAAAAAAACTGGGAGAAAATTAGAATGAAATATTCTTTTCTTTTATAGAAAAAAAAAGTTTAAAATAGCTGACAAAATGAATAACTTGAATTTTATTTTTTCTTTCTAACTTCTCAGTATAAACATTGCACATAAGTAATCAGGAAAATACAATACAAATATTCTTATGTTAGTTTTTCCTTCCTTTTTCTTCTTTTTTTACTTTTCCAGATAATATTTACAGTTGTGCAAGTCATTAATTTTTAGTATACATCGAATAAAATTAATTTTTATACTTTTTTTTCTTCACACATTATCACTTCATTGGATGAGAAATAAATTCAACGGTAAAATATTTTTTTTCTTTAGAAAAAAGAAAAATTAATTTTTAGACAAAATCAACGACATTATTTATTAATCGAATATTTTCTATTACGCATAGAGTAAGTAGTTCGATTAACTAAATTATATAAATAGATAACTGATTCTTCTATTTTCTGACGTTATTCTTTTCACGGAAAGAATATAAGTGCCGGTAAAGATCATACGGTATATAGAAAGAAGTTGACGCCACTTGATCATGATTTACCTGCTAAAGTAAGCAAATGCATTTGCATTCTTAATCAAATACAAACATAAAAGTCATTCTGCCGCAAAGAAACGTGATTATTAGATAGTTGAGCAAATTCTAATAGAGGAAATTGAACTCCATTTATAGAAAGAATATTCACAGATTTCTTTTTTCTCTTCCAATAAAGTAATTTATTTTTATCTACTTGTAAGTTTATCATAGAACAGTAGGTTTCTTTCAAAATCCTAGTAATAACTTTTTCTAAAGGCCTCAATGATTGTAAGTTTAAAAGCATACATTAATGTTTTGTAAATTAAGAAAAACAATTTTCTGTCAAATTATTTCTTTCAATCTATGGGGAATTATGAATTCTATATCACCCCATGTTCACATTAACAGTTATTCAATTATATGAATGTTAAACAAAACAGTATTTTTATCATTACATACAATAATCGAGACGAAGAATTTACATCGTTTTTTTGTTTTGTTTAGCAAAAAATATCTATCCTATTGTTTCTAGGATTCTTTTTTTTTTGTATTATTGTCGTGCTTGATCGTTTTGTATCGTAACGGCGGTATACAATACACATTGTGTTGTTTTGATACGAATAAGAAAATTAACGCGCACAGCTTGCTCTTCTCCTTCCTTTTTTTTTCTCTTCTTTCTCTTCTCCTTTTTTTTATGCAAGCAAAAAAAAAAAAGAAGAAGAAAAAGCAGAATGCGATATATAGCGATTTGACGACAACATGAAGATAAGACGACAAGAGTAGCGTCGTAAAGGGTGTGGAACGCGTTTAGTTTGTCAATGACAACGTTCTGCGAACATGAAAAATCATAATATGACATAGACAGTGTTTGGTTTTGATAGATACTTTTGATTCTCTCGTGAATATGTTGTTCGATTGGGTGAGTGCTGATGAACTTTGAATATATATATATATATATGTTTTTTTATTAGAATGCTTTTTTTTCTTCTTCGGAGTATATTTTTGTTCTATTGCATTTATTCGATTATTTTTTTTTAAAAGGAAAATGAAATCAGAATAATAGTAGTTTGTTAAATTATATATCCGATACTGGCTTGTTTTTGCAACTAAACATTTTGTGATTCCATTAGTCGATCGATAGGAATGAGAAAGATGTAGAATATAACAAAATTATAGATTTCTCAATATTATAGTTTAGAAAGCAATTTAATTGTTGAATCAATATGTTTATTAGATACATGAGTCTATTTGAGACATAGACATTTCTGTGTGTCATATAATTTCATCTATATTGGTTATATAATTCAGTCTCTTTCCAAAATATATAGCATAAGAACCTCTAATTGTGTTATACGCTGCACGTATATATACGTCATATTTTTGTGAATCCTTTTCTTCTGTCGACTGAATACACTCTATTTTTAATAAAAGTACACCTTTATATTTTCGTTGGACATGTTTTCATATGATACAATATATATATATATATATATAATCTAACTATCATTTAAGCCTGTTATAATGAATTCTATTCATGAAGAGAGGGCAAACGGATGTTTGAACGGCTTGATAAAATAGATTTTTAGTTTTTCTTTTTCTTTTTCGCTTTATTTTACTAGTGAACATGTTTTAAGTAGAATGCTTAATAAAAAGATTGTATGTGTGTGTGTGTGTGTGTGCTCAACAAATAAAAAAAGAAAGGTAATAAAAATCTTTTTTTTTTCATATAATAGTCGTCAATTTATTTCTGTTTAAATGCATGAGTGAATTCTTCATTATATTTGCATCAATTGTTTATATATTGATACAGGTGAAATTAATAAAGTGAGTTGGCAAACAACATAGAGTAGGAGTAATGTCAATACAAGAGTTATATATTTTATCATTGTCTGTTGCGTTTTGTTTTTGTCCGTAAGATACAATTATCCACCTACTCATTTAATTCTTTAAGCAAAACACCTATTCATGTGTAGGCGTAAGCTTAAAAAAAATATCTTTAATATTCTTTTGTTGTGTTTTTTTTATCTATAGATTTAAAACGAGAAAATCGATTGTCAAAATTTTAAATGTTTATACGATTATAAATTTAAATTGAATAATGATCGCCATCACTAAAAGATGGGATCATTTTATCAATAGATCGATTTGAAACAAAATGTCAACAGATATGATTTCAAAAAAAAGACCAACAACAACGACAACAACAACAACGGCTAATACATCGTTTCTTTCAATGATGACACCTAATTTTACAAATAATAAAAGACGTGAAAATTCCATTGGTGAAGATTCAGTAAGTAATAATGTTTAATATATATATATATATATATACGATAAAAAAAACATTCCTATTAGATATGACTAGTTTGTCTACTTGCTAAATCATTCATTCTAATCGGATGAACAACTCACCCCGGAAATCGATAGAGAGCAATGCGATCATAGATGAATAACGAAGGATGTGCGTCATTTATTTTTGACTTTCTATATTTTCATCTATGCATGCAAAACACGACAAGGTCAAATCACGCACATCCGCGAGAGAACTTGCACCCCCTATTGCAAATTTTCTCAATCGATCAGCAATTAATGTACTCATCATGTCATAAATACCATTCGTTTTTTTTTAATATGAAAGATACTATACATTTATATAAATATGTGGGTGGTTTGTTTTTTCTTCTACATTCCAGGAGATCACTGTTGATTATCGACGTCGTCTTATATGTTGTTTTTGAAAGTGTATAACATAGATATATATATATATACGTATATAAGATTTTATGCCTTTCATTTTGTCGTTATTGGTGATGGATAGATTGATAGGATACAGAAGAAAATGATTGTATTTGTAAGTATCCATTCAAGTTAAGAGATAATGACGCATATATGCACGTCTATTCATTCACTAATAAAAACTATAAGTGTCACATCGTATTAAATCAGGTATTAATTCAAAAAAAAAAATATGAAAGTAGATAAGAAATCAATATTTTTTCTTATCAACAAATATGTCCAAGGAAAACTAACCACCTGCTTATATGAGTGGAATTTAAATAATTATTATAATTTCAATTCGACCTGGTACGAGTACTCTCTTATGAGACTAATATAACATTACGTGAGAATATTGTTTTTTTCTTATATCTACATAAGAAAGTACTCTGAAACATGATTACTATTTTCACATTTTTATTAAAGTTAATTCCATCATGATAATTGTAAGGTTGAATTGACCTTTCTTAAAATATAATCATTACCTGATTCCTAACGTTTTTTCTTCTTCTTCT